ACGCGGAACGAGAGTAAAGCGGGGAGCACAGACTTTTGCATAACGCATAACACGTAATGCATAAGAATATGTACCAATCGAAGTTCTCCGTTTCTTTCCCTTCCATGTAATAGAGAACTCTGGTTGATTCAATTTCTTATGCCTCATGTGTTATGCGTTATACAAGAGTCTGTGCTCTCCGCTTAAAACCATCACAAGCATTCTACACCAACTGCAATTGATAAGGCCGCGACACAGACTTTTGCATAAAGCATAATGCATACTGCATAAACGAATCAACTAATCAGAATCTTTCCTTTCCTCCCATCCCATGGAAAAGAATAATTTCGATTGGTTGATTCTCTTATGCACTACGCGTTATGCGTTATGCAAAAGCTTGTGTCTGGGCTCATAGGAAATGCTTGTGATTGGTTCTGTTCTCGTTCCGCGTTACGCTTTTCCGCTGCATGGGTAAGCACCCTAAAGCATATGCCAAATGAGTAAACTTCTAGGCCGGTATTCATAGTCAGATCTTATATTCAAGACCGTCTTAAGTACGGTCTTAAGAAGTCACGAACCAATCAGAAGGCTGCATTAGCGTCTTAAGACATCTTAAGATCGAACTTAAGGCGATCTAAAGGCCATTCTACATTGATTGTATCGTAGACGTCGCAAGACACAAGTTTGTTGCTTGAGCCAATCCGATGCTCCAATTTTAAAGGCCCGTCTACAATACACGGAGTAAGAAGTAAGAGTAAGAAATTGACCAATCACAGTCGAATGTTCTTCTCACATTCGACTGTGATTGGTCAATTTCTTACTCTTACTTCTTACTCCGTGTATTGTAGACGGGCCTTAAAGTCGTATGATGCTTACGACGCTTCCGACGCTACGATACGACCAATGTAGAATGGCCTTTAAATATAAGAAATGACTATGAATACCGTCCTTAGACTCGTCCAATTTCTTATCTAGGAAACTATTAAGCCGTATTGTTGGCAATTGCGTTATCGTCGCCATCTAGCGTTGTACCTAACGGTCGCTACTGGTCGCTGCAAGTCGTTTCGAAGTGTTGAGAGTTCACACGACAATCACGATCAGCATTCAGTTCAGTAACGATCAGTTCGGTGTGGTTGAGTGGCAGTGCATGTAGTATTATCGTTCTTCATCGTTTTTGCGCAATCTGTATATTTTGAAAAGAAAACGAGAAATTTTCGACGATTTTCGAAATATGAAGTCTGCTTACTTGATCTGCGTGTTACTGTGTGTGCCACTGGTGCTGGCCGTAGAGGGTGAGTTGGTTAATTCTAAATATTGGCGCGTAATAATTGCAAAGTGCGTTGCTTATACATGCGTAATAATGAAACTTAAAGCATGCGCGGTATCAAGTAGACGGTAGTCGATTGTCGTATTTCACGTCTTATCAGGGGACGCCTACTCGGGTCGAATTACCGATAACGGCACTGTCCGTTCGGTTTTTTCCGGTAGCGACGTTCAAGAAATTTATTTTTCCGTAGACTCGCGCTTTCCATATTTAGGCGATCACGGTAACTTTTTCTTTAAAGCGGAAACGTGAAAAATGAATTTTTATGTATATATATATACATATACACACACACATACATACATACAAGAAATTTTCACGTTTCTACTCTAAGGATAAAGTTATATGATTGCTATCTTGTTCACGCGTAAAGATATTCTTTTTTGAAAATACTCTTTTTTCCTTTCTCTCTTCTTTTCACGAGAAGTCTATAAAAACATGAGATTGATTAGAAAAAAAAAAAACATCGAGCCGTTAAAAACAGCGACTCAGCACATGTCTCTTACACGCGACCTTCGTTACACAACAGCGGTGGTCTCAAGTAGATTGCTATTGATTTTTCACTGACCACCACCAGCCGAATCTTAGCTATGATGAGCGATAACGATCGGAGCGCGCAACGGCTTAATGTTTTATCGTCGTCAGCAATACATTCGCGGTTGCCGACAAAGGATATATAAAACCAGCGGTATGATACTGAAGAAGTTGAAATTCCGTCATGTAAAAAAATAACATTCTTTTTATGTCCATTTCTACCAATGTAAATCTCAGTTAGTCTTCATTTTTTTAAATTCATAAAACAGAAAAAGAGAATTAGTTGAATTGAGATTAAAATTAAACTACATTCGTAGAAACGGGCGTTAGTTGAACTGTTCATATTTTCTCTTTTTTTACTCTAACATGAAGAAAAAAAAGAGGAAAAATGAATCAAGAAGTTCAACTGAAATGACAGATCTAAAGATATTGATACGCGTTTGTATTTGTCAGATTACGTTAAGATGTAAATCGATGTCTGAAATTATTTGACACAGTAAAAAAATTAAGTAAAAAAAATTAAGGTAGATTGTGAATCTTGAAACGAAGTGAAAATAACAAAAGTGAACAAATTTATTAGGTATTGGCCAATAAAATTATAAATATTGTAGTGAGAGAGAGAATTTGCTCACTTTTGTCATTTTTATTTCATATCAAAGTACATAATTCTCTGGTAGAAATTATATTCGAATGTTAAAAATTTTTTTAGTCGCGGAACATCGATCTGAAAAATTTTATATCATTTACAGAATGAAATTTGATCCAAATTTTATTTTTACTTCATATTTTTAAAAATGAATATTATTAATTAAGTAATATCTTAAAAATTATTTTACTTAATGTTTATGAGTGATGCGCATATGCGTTTATGTACGATATATAAAAAATATTTGCTCGTTAGGAGAACAAAATCAAGCATTGGATATTTTTTTATTTCATTGGAAGTTGCAGGAAAAACAGTTTTAAATGTATTTAAAAATTGAAATATATGGAATATTTATTTATTAAAAAAATTAATATATGGATTCTTCATACATTCAGATACAGCACAAAATGGAACTTCTTCTTCAACGGATTCTTCGAATCACAGTAATCAGACTCAGATCTCAGACAAGACTACTACTCCTGAACCAGTCAATAATAAAATTACTATAACTGCAAGTAGTATTGCTACTACTACTCCTACTCCTACTTCTACTTCTACTTCTACTTCTACTAAAACTACTGGTAATACTCCTCCCCCCAATACCACCACCACCACCACCACCACCACCACCACCTCCACCTCCACTACTACAAATACTCCTACTACTATTACGACCACTACATCTAAAACTACTACTGCATCAACAAATACATCAACCAGCGTTCCAACATCTCCACCTCCATCCACCAGCACGGCTTCATCGAAGACAACAGCTGTACCACCACCTTCTAAGGATCGCCAATTTGATGGTCTAAGCTTTTTTGGTACGTAAAGCCCATTCTACAATTGCGTAAGCGTAGTTGTAAGTGATTGTAGTTGTAAGAATTGACTAATCACAGTCAAATATTTTTCTCATGTTTGATTATGATTGGTTAATTCTTACAACTACAACCACTTACAACTACGCTTACGCAATTGTAGAATGGGCTTAAGAGATGTTATTCTGTTAGTTATTTCTATAAATTAATTGAGAGACTGTATCTTACAATAGATAAGACAATAAAATAAAAAGTTTTACAAAAATTTTATCATAATAATTAAAATTCCATAAACTACAAATACTGGTTATAAAAAAATTATTTTAAATGAATTTTTTTATTATAAATTTTTAATTGTATTCGATTTAATGTAACAGATATGGTTAAATATCAAATAATCATGCATATCTTTTTGTTGCAGGTGGCATTATTCTTACTACATGTTTGATGGCAATCGCCGCGTTCTCATGGAAGTTCTATAGGCAATGCAAGGAAGGAAACTACCGTACACTGTGATAACGTGCAAGGCGCTACATAACAGACTTTCGTCAAGTAAACACAATTAATTGAATTAAGAACTATGAATAATTATTTTATTGTAATAATATTGCGTATTTTTATAACGCAGTTAAAGTGTTGCGTGGTTAAGTGCTCTTAGTAATGTGATGTACAACCACGTTCCGTTTTTCTCGATACATATATGTAATAAAGAGGGAGGGGGGAGATCATATGTATTCGTATGTATTGGAAACAATATTGTATGTATATGCGTCATTTTACTAGTAGACGAGAGATTGTGACGATTACGTGTTGCAAGTAGGAGCAGTAGAGGATATGAGGGAGAGGGAAAGTGGGCGCATTGACGAAAGCCAATGACCAATCAAACGTACATTCCATAAGAGAGAAAAAAGGGAGATCATAATTCTTTAAACGCGCATTATCCTTCTTATTAGCTTTCGCTCAAACTGTAACTGTTAACAAGCTGTATCTTTAATCTATGATGTGGTATATACATTCCGCAGTAAAGTTACATAAGATCTGACTTTTCTACGAGAGGAGAGAGAGAAGAGAAAGTATTAAACTTAAGAAACATTGAACTCGACACAGGTGTTTTAGCGTGAAAACGCTATGCCAAAGCAAATGAATCTTCGAAATACTCGAATTTCAAACAGACGTATAAATTACATCGACGCGTCTGAGACGCGCTATATAATATGAATACTTAAAGCCGGTTATTGGCTGTTATTAAAAAAAATATATATATATAATAGTTTTGCGGTGCAATATATAATATGCACGAGCTATTAACTCTCTCCTTTATATATCCTTATCACTGGTCTTGCTCTACAATATTTTTTCGACAAAATCTGAGTAACGCGTGGATAATCCTATAAACATTTAAGGCATCATCAAAGTGAAAGTTTCTTTTTTAAATTAGATTGCATTTTTTTACATATTTATTTTTATTTACTTAATATCGCTTAAATTTGCATTGTATATGTACAATACATATAACAATTTTATTTTTTTGCAATTTCATTCTTGAGAACATTCAAAATATTGTCGATTATTTACACGTTGCAATCGTAACCGCCGTTGTCATAAAACTCTCTTTAACTCTTAAAAATACTTATTCGTTAAATAGAATGCCTAAGTATTAAATAGTTCCTTTCTCACATATTCGCCTAAAATGAATCAAACTACAAAAAATCAAGGAAATGCTTTTTACTTTTAATGATATTTTCTTTTTACAACGTATTATTAATAGATACACAATTTAATTTACGATTATTTTCATAGCAAGTATTGTGAGATAATATTTTAAATAGCACAGTATTGTATTAAGGCCCAGTTTCACAACTCACGATTAACTTAACCGAGGTTCACTTGTTTCTCATCTCTTTCCAATTCTAGAATTGGAAAGAGAGATGATGAATAAGTTGAACTTCGATTAAGAGTTAACCCTGAGTTGGGAAATTGGGCCTAAAGGCGGTATTCATAGTCGGTTCTTATATTTAAGATTTCTTAAATACAGTCTTAAGATGTCACGAACCAATCAGAGGGTCGTATTAGCATCTTAAGACATCTTGAAATAAGAACAGACTATGAATACTAAATATGTTAAGTGATATTCTAAGTATAACGTGTCATGTTTATTATAAAAAAAACAAAGAAAGATATATTATATGTTACATTGTGCAATATCTCTTTCAGTTTGTCTATACAACATTGAAAATCCAAATACTGCATTAATATTTTACGGAGCCTAATCCTATTCCTCCCTGATATTCCTCTCGCAATCACTATTACGTCGTAACAGTATCATTATCATAACAGATATATCTCTAGTTGCACGATCTTTCCGTTTTGTTAACATTTTTTATTACGAAGAGAATTTTGAAAAAAAAGAAAGATACATGATCTGAACAGTAAATTCTCGCATTTAATATCACGTCAGCGGTTCTGACGATACCAATGGCAAAACAAGTAGCGGTTCTCGCCGTTCTTGGCCCGACGATTGATTGTTTTTGCCATACCGAAGGAAAAAGTGTTTCTCGCGCATCATCATCGTTTACTTCTGCAAACGAGAACAATTTTGACGTCATTTTAAAATTTATACGTCGCTCATCCGATACAAATTTTTTGTTGGCGTTATAGCGGCAATACAAAGAGATACCGTATCTGTTTTCGAGCATCTTAATTACTATTTTATAATAATTTAATTATGATATTTTAAAACAAATTCATTCAATAATCATAATCGCCGCCTAGCAGAGAATCGCTACGTATTTTGCCATTGACATCGCCAGAACCGCTGACGTGATATTAAATACGGGAATTTACCCTGTCCAGAAAGAGTATTGATCGCATAGCGCCGTTGTTATACGTACTTGACATACATATTTCCGCTTAAAACTAATATACTGCTTACACATACATACAGAAACTCGCGACTTTAATCGTTGGTTCCTCAAGAAAGGAAAAATCCATTATGTCGCACGAAAGTGCAAAAGAAGAAAAGAAAACAACGGGGAAAGGTGAAAGGACAGATCGATAACGAGAAAACCACCTACCGGGTATTGTGAATAAGGATTTACATTCAACAGAGAGAAAGAGAGAGAGGGAGAGAGATATCTACAATTTCATCGAGGCTGCAATGAGATATCCGATGCGACAAACACAGCGCAGGATAAAGCAGTGATATTGCAGTCGATAAACTTGCTTGGTTTGCAATAATTTATTCGGTTGAAAGTTAGCTGATAGCTGATAGTTCCTTCTGAGGAAACGGTTGTAGGATATTCAGTTACCACGCACCAATTTTGGAAAATTCCAACATTATATTTAGAATAGTGTGTAATTTATACAGAACGGTTATCTCGAATTTATTAATTGTTGAAGATATTCTAATTCGATATTTTAAATAATCTGCTTTAAAAAATATTTTAATAAATTCTAGATAACAACAAATGTTTTCTTCTTCATTCTATATATATTATACAACATTTATTTTTTGCAAAATTATACAACATTATGATAATGATATAAGAGGATTATGGAAATGAAATAATATATAATTGATAATAGTGTTATACCTATATAATACTATAGTATCTATATAATAAATCAAGGATATATCATATAAAATGTAATCAAACTGTGAATATATATTGTATAGTAGGATTATGATATACATTAAAATCATATTATAATACATAATATATTTTATTCGATCGAGTCGAACGTGGAAGCCACATGTGATTTTATTCCCATCTCACTTTGCGCATATTGAGCGTGCGAGTGTTGCGGCGTAACATTCCCAGAGATGAGATAGGATGTGGAAAACCAGATAAGAAAAACACGCGTGCAAAAGAAGAGATCGCGGCGAGATGAGTGTGATGTAATGAAAAAAAGAGGAAAAAACAAACGTAACATCATTTCGTGCGAATCGTCTGACGAAAACATGTATTATAATTCATTTTAAAATGTAAATTGTTTCGTAAAAGTGAGTGAAAAATTTTTCGATTATTAAAAGAAATATGCGCAAAAGAAATCTCGAGGTAGCTGAGATTGAAGCTCCAGGTACACAATTCTTATACTACATATCTCCATCGAGAACATAAGCCAAAAAATCAGATTTGTTAAAAAGAAAAGTTTATCTTGGTTATAGCTATCGATAACACAATGTAGTGCTTCCTACCCTGAGTCATTACTTATATACATGAACATTGCTGGTAAGATAGAGGGTGTAATCGTAATATTGTGTGGGAGACGTAATATTAAGTATAGGGAAATATAGTCTCCCACACAACATTAAGATTAACCCTTAATATTACGTCCCCCACACACCATTAAGATTATCCTCTCTATCTTACCAGAGATGTTCATGTATATAAGTAATTCTTAGGGTAGAGAGCACTACATTGTGTCATCGATAGCTATAATCAAGATAATCTTTTTTCTTTTTAACAAATCTGATTTTTTGGTTTATGTTCTCGATGCAGGTATGTAGTATAACTAGTATAAGAATTGTGTACATCTCTTCTAACAATTGTACATAATAGAGAAAAAAATTTTTTTTATATTAAAATCTGGAAATTATGCGTTATTATCTAACTGACAAGATTCGATTTACACATATTAAGGCATTTTGTTAAACTAACTGTGATAACAACACCGTGTAAAATATTTTATTTATATGTATATGTACTGAAGATGATCTAATTAAGACCGAAACGTTTATATTTAATTTAGAATTGTTCTTGGTGATTTTATAATCTATATATTGTTCGCTTCCAATATCTTGCGTAGTGGTATATGCCCTTTATAATATTGTTTTGAATTTTTAGCCACTTATTTTTGTTTATTGTTAAAATAATATACTTTAATTAATTTCAAATAGACTCAAATAGATAGAATTCTTTCTTTACATGATTTAAATTTAATATTTGTTGTATTAAAGATATATAGAGGGTGCATCAAAAGTCCAGGAACGGTCGAATATCTCAAAAGTAAAGCATTTTTGAGAAAAAAGTTTCAGACAAAAGTTATAGGGTTTAAAAAGGTGTACTTACTGACCACATCCGTTTGATCTTAGATGGCGTCATCAAGGTCAGGTCAAGGTCACATCGATTTTTTAAAATGAAATCCCCTATTTTTCATTGTATATTCTTGTAGCTTATCTCGAGAGCTTTCCAAAACACTACAATAAAGCTCATTTTCATTAAGTACTTTTTTGAGTTATGAGAAAATTACTTAAAAGTTATAGTATCACTGACGTTACCCAAGGTGTCCGACTGACGGCTAAAACCTCTTGAATGTTGGTCAGAGTCATGCCCTGGATAACACTTATTAAGATCAAGGTCATTGGAGGTTGTTTCTCTTATTTTTATTTTTGCATTATAAATTCATTTTTACAACTTTCGTCTTAAACATTATTCTCAAAAATATTTTGCTTTCGAGATATTCGACGGTTACCGGACTTTGATACACCTGTGTATATATATATATATATATATATATGTGTGTGTGTATATATATGTACATATACACATATATGTATATATACACGGTAGTATTTTAGAGCTAAGACATGGCGTGTATATATACACAGGGTGTCTCAATAACTATTAGCATTTGAAATATTTTCGACTCTATAAGGTCTAGAGAAAAATTTGTATAGATAACCAAAATTGCACGATATGAAGAGGAGTCTATTATATGGCGATAATAATTTTTATCCAGGTGGAAGCGCTCTAGTTATTCTGCGTATAAAAGTATTAAAATGAAAGTATCGAAAAATTAATAGTTTACGAGATATTTTATACTTTATTCTGGCACATATGGACATTTAGGACATAAAATATTAAATAACTCGTAAATTTATAATTTTTTTATAATCGTACCTTAATACTTTTATGAACAGAATAATGAGATGAATCAATTAATGTAAAGAAAATATATAGTTGTTTTAAAAAAATATGGCTGTAAAATGGATAATTTTTTAAATAAGCAATGATGTATTTTCTTTACACACATCGATTGTTTCATCTCATTATTTTGTTCATAAAAGTATTAAGATACAATTTTCAAAAAATTATTAATTTACGAGTTAACATTTTATGTCAATATATGCCAGACTAAAGTATAAAATATCTCGTAAACTATTGATTTTTCTACCTTAATACTTTTATACTCAAAATAACTAGAGAAATATTATATTATGTAAAAAAAATCATTTAATTCCATTAAAAAAAATAAAGTTAACTTTGAAATCTCTGAAGCGCCATCTGGACAAAAAATATTATTGTCATATAATAGAAACTTTCCTTTATATCGTGCAATTTTGGTTATACAAATTTTTCTCAGACTTTATAGATTCAAAGATATTTCAGGTGGCAATAGTTATTAGGACACCCTGTGTATAATTTTAAAAATAAATTGCGCAAAAATGAGAATTTCTTACATTTTTGTAAAAATAAAATCAGCGCTAAATTACTCGAAAGATCATTAAATAATAATACAATAAAGATATAGCACATTCAATATTGTATCTAACTGAATAATTACATAATTATAAATAATTGCATGATGATATACATACTGAAATACATACCGGATACCGAAATATCTTTTTGTCGTATCTCTCTCTTTGACGAGATATATGTAAATATCAATTATAAAAATATCTTATCTTATTCATTTGTTGCGATAAATTGTATTTCCTTATGTGCTTATCAACTCACATTCAGGATCGGCGTAACAATTCAGAGAAAAATTCGAGAGAGGTCATTGCTTATGTCAATTTTTTAATGTTCAACACCAAGAGTTTTCGCACCTGAGGTCTCAAACTGAGGTTCTGTTAAAATGCGAAAGGTCTACTTGAAATACGAAAAACCCAATTTCGAATATTGTTGTTACATCACTTCATTCGCATGCGTGTTTTTTCTAAAAAAAATATCGACTTTATATCGAGCAAACAACAATATATTGTAAAAAAAGATGTAAAATTATATAAACAAAAAATCACATGATATATAACGAAAATATTTACATTATAAATTGTGTGATTCTTGCACTCGTTATTCACTTAATTTTATATACTTCTTTTATAGAGTATAGTTGAAAGGTCCAGTGGTTTTATAACACTCTCTATAACTCGTCGACGTATAACGATCAGCGATCGCGAAACGGAAAAAGAATAAGCTCGCTAGAGCGTGATATACCCTTACTCCTTTCACCGAGAGCCTGCTCTGCACAGCTCACTTTATTTATACCTTGGTAGAATTTCTAAGGATATCAACACGAAATTACATACCGCGCGATTACGAGCTACGGACGATAAACGTGCACGGAGTTGAGAGCGAACGCTGCTTCAACGGTGCAAAAGAGCGATATGAATTTAACGGCGTGTGCCGCATGAGTTTTTATCAGATCTGAAAACGAGTCTCGTATATTTTGCGCAAAAAGAAATAGTGTAAATTTTTAGGCTCTACGCGCTTTGTTTCAGCATGCAGTGTAAAAAAAAGTATGTAAATTATATGGACAATAAATATACAAATCATAAGATTCATAACGGAAGTGTAATACATTTCGCATTTTATTCCTGTTATTCATGTAACTTTATTTTCTTCATAGCACTTTATTTCACTATATGTCGTATAAAAACATGAAAACCAAGTAAAATTGCATAAACAGCACATGTAAAAGTCACACAATTTATTATAGAAGTGTAAATAAATCGTATGATATATATATGTTTCTTACATATTCATAAATTTTATATAATTATAAATATAATTTAATATAATTAATATGATATGATATATTATCTATGTTTAATTATTTAAATATAAATACACGCACAATTCTCATAATAATTTAAAATTAGATAAAAAGTTCCATATGTAAATGAGTAAAAAAATGTTTTATTAAAAAGATTAAGTATTACGCATATACTATATAATATACTATATATATTTAATCTTTTTAATAAAACATTTTTTATCTTGCAATGTGATGTACATATATAATATGAGTGACTTTTTATCTAGTTCCCTATGAGAATTATTTTATAACAAGAAATAGTATAATTGCATTTTATTATGTGCCGTGTTTGTATATTTTAAATATTTTATTATATGTAAAAAACATTGTGTATGTATACGTGACATGCTAAAGTTTATGTGATGTTCGCAACGCTCCTTAATTTTATTCAACTTTAATTCCATTTAAACTCCAGTGAATTTAATTTACTCTTTTCGTATGTAGAACTTTAATCTCGCCAAGACATTTGATATTAAATATTAAGATTACTCAATTCGAAGTTCATTATCGTTTAAGGCTCGGTTCCACTAATGTAAAATTAACTCTAATATTGGTTCAATTTGCTCCTTTTCTAATTCTAAAGATTATGCTCGCTTCTACTAATATAGATTAATTTTAATCTTGGTCCAATTTGCTTCTTATCTTTTTTAAATTTTAGAACTCTCTCTCTCTCTCTCTCCCTCTCTCTCTAGAAAAAGATCAAGAGTTGAACTAGGATTAAAATTAAAATACATTGGAATTAGAAAAAGATAAACAGCAAGAGTTAAATCAAGATTAAAGTTAATTTTACCAATTGGTGGAACTGGGCTTAATTTGCTTTGATCCAAATAGTTAAGTCAAATTACCATCAGGATAATCCTAACTTTCAGACGAGAGTTATTAAATCTGTAACTTGGTCATCTCTCGTTTATTAAAAGTAATATCTATCGCTCGTGAAATCGTTGAATTGTAAAGTACCTGAATAGCAAATGGAAGAATACAAACAGTAACATCACATCAATGTTATATAATTTCCTATGTATTCAACAATACAACTGTATAATATATGTTATATTACATTTGTATTGTTGAGTGAGAAATTATAATATTGATGTAATGTTACTGTTAGTTTATGTTCTGCGGGTAATTAATGCGCTAAGGGAAGAGTAGCGGGGATTCGTGAGTTAGAGTACTTTTCCCCAGGAGCTGCTATTAACGCTGACCGTTAGCAGAGCATACTCTCGTATATCTCCTTTGCCCTTGCTTTTCTTTATCAGCCTAGAACCATTTCCTTCCCTTGCGTCTCTTTCTCTTTATACCTCTACTTTTGCTCAACTCGTGCAATTCTGCCTTCCAAGCGATTTCTCTCCTCTTCGGTACTATTATAAAAAAATTCAATATAATAAAAAAAGATACTTTTCATGGGAAGCCTCACAGTGCGTAGTTTCTATCAGAAGAAATTGTTGAGCTTCACACGTGTGCGTTACAAAATTTGATGTATATAAATAAATCATAATTTTCTTCTATTATCATATTCTAAAATTTTTAACAGAAAAAAATAGAGCTTTTGATTTAAAACTGTAATCGATATTGTGATTAAATTTATCATATATTTGTGTCGAGAGATACGTATTCAAATTTATACGAAACAATGCAAATACGATATGAGCCTAGAAATTAACGTGCGCAATGCAGGTGCTCGTATCTAGATACATTTTCAGCTGCTTTAAATATAATATTTCGAACCTGTAAGTATGTCTATCTATATCAAAGGCAAAATGTTTCTCTTTTATCGCTATCCTATATGTGATTAGCTCAGAGAGTAACAATCGTAGCGCAGCAATCGCTCTCGTGAAGCGAACAAGAAACGCGCGCTCTTGGGATGCTGCAACTGCTGCAAGGCGGGATGAAAATGTGTCCGATCGATCGACGCGCCCGGCGCTCACGAGCTCACGAGTGACCACGCGTGCGGTACGTCACAGCACTGAGAGAGGGGGAGGAGTGAGAGAGAAAGAGAAAGAGGGAGTGAGAGGGGTAGGAGAGGGAGAGGGAGAGGGAGAGGGAGAGGG